GAGCGGATGGAAATCTATTATTTAATTTTGTATGGCCTAAAGTAGCAGATATGCTGTCGTGTAAAAACATCTCATTTCAGCCGAATGTTATAAATTGGGTTGTGAGAAGTTTGTTTTAATGAATATACTAGCCATGTATAATATTGCCTCATGGAGAAACTCACTGGTGGCTCGAATTGTTTCTATAACTGCAAATAGCTGCAATACTGCTGATGCGGCATTAAGCAATATTTACTCACTCACTGACGGTGATAGTTTTGTTTCCAGCTTTCGGACACTTCTGTTTTCACTACCATTGGACATTACTGTACACAAGTTCTTTTATTTAATTATATTGAGCATGTTGAAGGTTTTTATTTATTGTACACAGGAAACTGTAACATCGGGAGAGGACTCTAATCTACCCTACATAGGACTTTGTGTATGTAAATTACATAGCATTTTCAAGCATAAGTCATAATTTTGCTAAATGCTACTTGGAGAATGAAGAGCATGAAAGAAGCATGACCACAGGACTGCTAACGAGCGCATGCGCCTTGTACTTATGACATGTTCGTCTGAAACGCGATAACGCGAGACCGTGAGATCGCGAGAAAATGAAATGTCGCATTCTCTCGTTCTCGCGATTTCGTGTTTTGTTTGTGGCCTAATTTGACAAGTCGACAGTGCGATATTGCGAGATTTTACATCATGTCCAAATGTCGCATGTTCGCGTTGTCTAATTTTTACAAAAAGAGCTATGTAACAAAAACACGTGAATGCGAGATCACGAGATTTTGGCCAAATGTCGCGTTCTCGCGATCTCGCATTCTCGTGTTATTGACAAATTAAACTCGTTTCAAAAGATCGAATCGGGAGAATGTTTGAGGCACAAATAAAACGTCAATCCTTATATTGACAGATACAGAAATCACAACAAAACAATTCATTAAACATCAAACTTTAATCATTTAAAGCGAACTATATCAACGCGGAGATTCGTGACGTCCATTTGGAGTGACATTCCTTGGTTTTACAAACGGCAGAAAATGGTGGCTCGGTTAAAATCTTAACACCGTAACAATTTACTTGTACATCAGTAGTTTGTTTGCAGAAATGTATTTAAAGAATTAGATTTCCTATTCAAGTATATTCACGTTTACCTTTCTTCAAACGTAAAATGCTAAAAAAGGTACTTTCAAGTTAATATTTGTCTGTTTATAAGCAAATACTTTCCTGGACTTATTTAAAACATGGCTGTCCCTCAGCTGGACCAGATTAAAACATAATACGTAAACTATATCAAAATATTACAAAAATGTAACAAATTTTGTTTTTCAGACTCTCGGATGAACATTAATTACATGTATCCTATCATTACTATCTAAAACCTAATTTTACAAAAATAAATTAGGAAAAAAAGATGTCACTCAAAAGCACTCAACTCCGTTACAACAAAACTCAAAAATAACTGCGCTATGGGAGATAACTCTCATACGCTTCCTCTTTTGGCAACATGTCTATGAAGATCATCTGCTGGTGATATATAGATGTCACATGTATGTACAATGTACAAGCCAATGACATCAAGATGTCTCTGGTAAGTACAGTATGTTTCCTAAGCCTCAACTCTGTTACACTGTCTGTATATCTATAGCTCATTCTAATTTACTACACTTTTCCAAGATAAATTTGGTTTGTAAGACCATGCTAGCAATGAGTATTTTAATTTCCACAAAAAGCAAAGCATCGTGGGATATGTGCCATATATAGTAAGGTTTCTCAACTCCGTTACACTCAACTCTGTAATGCTGTACAGCGCAACAGAGGGAAAAAAATTGTACATCTGCACAATTGCGATAGTTTTTGCCAGTACATAGATTTTTTAATTTTTTTTAACCCTATACCTATACCCTATACAAATAATTTGTCCACAGTCAGTTATAAGAATTTTTCTTTAAAATGGTCACTCACACTACTCTGAACTGTTGTTTTTCACATTGATGGGAGTGACTGGCTATGGTGTTTTGGCTGCAGAAAGCCTGTCATTATGCATGTATAAACAGCATATTTTGTGACAGTGTTAATGTAATGATTGATAGGGAATTTGATCATTACAATTGTGAATTTTGTAACTAAAATATAGTGATCTAAAATGGCATTATAAGCAGTTTTGTGCTTATTTATTTCAACGTCTATACAAAGGGTTGAACATCAACAGGGATGAAAAGGTTGCTATTGTATGCTATATAGCAATAACAAAATATATGAGTTACAACTCCGTTACAACAAACTCAACTCTGTTACGTCAGGATTTTTTTAATAGATGACTTCTTTTGACAATTGCCGAAAAACTTTGTTGTTTTTATGAGTTTTAACTTTAGATTAGGATTAATGATAATATATGTTGTGACAAAAGATGAAAAATACCATATTTTGGATACCGTCTTTAATGTAAATGACTTTGTTGTCTAAACAAACTTTTGAAATATTGAGGGAGCACTTACAACTGTCCAGTCATACATTTTATTTAGCCAGTTTCCATTTGTATTAACATTGAATTGTATTCACATTTAAAGTAATTGTTGAATATGATTTTATATTTAACGTAGCGCTATTTAAATTACTTTCCATTTTGTGACCCATAACGGAGTTGAATGTCCAAGCGGATAAGGCTAATTCATTAATTATTTTCTTATTAATTAAACACATCAATGCACTGCATTGATCTCGAAAGTACTTCTTAAGTATCATATTCTCTAATATCAAGAGAAAAATTATATAAAGGACACTCTTATTTTGGCAAGTTGATAATCAGAAATTTTGCCGGTTTTGAGATTTTTACCCGGCTACGGCAATGTCTTTCGCTTGAAATGAAAGTTGCACCTAGTAATGTTTGCGTTGGAAAGAAGTCCAGACCCGGCTGATGCTGAAAATGGATTGCTATTAACGTTCCGTGAACCTTGGGTGTGTGTTTGAGTCTTACTACGGCTGCTGATGACGGGGATTACCGCTTGAGGCGGTGCGGTTGGATTTCCCGAAGCAATACACGACAGTGTGGAGCTCAGTGATTTCTTTTGGTAAGTCGAGCATTCTCTGTTATAGCTTCGAATGTACGCTTCATTGCGGAGACCCGACATATACATGATCTGTCTGGCTTCAAAGCCTGCGCCATTCTTAGCCTGAAACGATTATGCATCAATTTCAAGCGAATTCAACTCATTATCGGAATTTCATAAGTCAATTACCATGTCTTGCTTATATGTGAAACGTATTCCCATTTAAGATATAAATTTCTCCCCATGTTGCAAGGTATTTTTAAAGACCGTCAGTTAATGATAAATCTGCTAAACTCTGAAAATCCTGATATGATCCATGCTGTTTCTGTATTCTTAAAATATGTCTTTAAAATGAGGAATGTGTAACTAGATTTAAAATCTAATCATGTACATCACGTGACAAATGTTAATATCCAATCTGCATTGTACTATGGGCCTTGATGCCTAAATTACTGAATAAACTGTCTGTCTGTCTGTCTGTCTGTCTGTCTGTCAGTCTGTCTGTCTGTTTCCGCTTCTGAAATGTCGTAATGAGCATATAGGTAATTTAGGTATACACACATCAAAGTGTTATTCTTACCACCTTGTCACTGGTAGGCCTAATAATGTAGACATGGAATCGGGGTCGGGTGACACATCAGGTGATGTGGGTCTTCTCTTGTTTCAACTTGATTTTCATCGTTTCCAAACCACGGAACTTGCTCTGTTGGTTCATAAGCGAATGGTTTTGCGATTTCTTGAAGGGTCAAGGGAACTTCTTCGGATCAGGCAATATATCGGATGCCATGTTGTATCACCATAAACTGGTACTTAATATCCTTTGCGTTGTGACAAGACAGGGACCAAGTTAAATTGGCACCAATTACATCATAATCTAAGGGGGATAACTCAGGCCTGTTTAGCTCGGAAACCGAAGGCCTCATAACGGCATGACATTTTCACACTTACCGTGAGCTTCCTACTTTCACTGTGAGAAAAATGAGGGTATATTTTTGAACTAACCCAGTCGTCCAAGGCGCCGCGATTTGCTGTGCAGATTTGCGTCCCTTGGGCACGCCAGAAACCTATGGTTGTGGGTTCGAATCCCGGTTCGCCCCGATTATGTTTCTAGGGTTGTCAGCATCATACCCGACCTCGTGGGTTTCAGCGAAGTGGTTAACGTCTGAGACCTGCATCACTTCGGGCTTTCCTCCCACATTAAGCTGACACATCGCGATATAACTGGAATACTGTTAAAAGCGGCGTTAACCCCAACTCACTCACTTGAACCCCGGACCTTCCGCTCTCCGGGCGGACGCTCTACCACTAGACTAGTCCACGGAGGCGGTCCGTTTTGTTCCATCAGTTGTTTCGAATCGCTGAACGGGATAAGGAGTGGAGATTACTGTTTGTCAAGATCTGCTTCAATAGAGTGGCTTTTGAGTTACCTGCTATGCCAACATGCGTTCTCGAAAATCTGCGCTTCGAAAGGTGATAGAAGATTGATGAAGATGAAAATTTGATGTTGGTACAGGGAAGGGTCCGAAAAGATAAAACAGCTGCTTCACATTTTAGATTAATGACTACAAGAAACATGATCTTGTATTATGAATGCCAAAACACTTCCACTACTTCCCGTGATGATTCTGTGTGAGAATTGGTCTTCAACAACCCATGCTTGTTATAAGAGACGACTAACTGGATCGTGTGGTCAGGTTTGCTGAATTGGTTGATGCATGACATACTATCACAATTGCGTAGATCGATGTCCATGATGCCAAGTACTGGACTGTCTGGTCCAGACTCGATTATTTACAGACCGCCGTCATATAGCTGGAATTTTGCTGACTGGGCGTTAAACAACAAACAAACAAAACCCCAAAATGTGAATCGCATTGTTGGTCAACACTTCGAAAGGAATATCAACTTGCTTACTTGCAGTGTTATATATACATAATATATCAGTATGTTAATAATAATATAAACGTTTAATAATTGTTTTATTGTAATGATAGCATACAAACGAGACTACATAAGGGTGAATGAATGTGTCAGCCACAGATGCTGATTGTTTTTTTGTTGTTATGTTTATTTATTATTACCACAAAGAAATTCAATGCTGGGTAATAAAAACTACTCGAAAACTAACTTGAAGACAAAAATGCTCGAACTGCGAAAGGCGTGACACATCAAGAAAGCTCACCTGGTTACATATCATAACATCATATATACATTTTGACAACAGAAACAAACGTGAACATAACCAACAATTAATAGTATTTAATACAGTTGTAAATATGTCTAGTTATGTAAACAATGCAAAACGTTAATGTCATGATTTAACGATATGAAACGATCCTGAAAGTGCCCACAGGGTGAAAGCGCCAGTGAAGATGTTTATCAGCCCATACAAGATCTTGCGAGGCTTGGTCGTACTTCACTTTATGAATTTGCAGAACCATTGTGAAGTGCCAATGAGCATGTGTACGTCCATTATACTATAGATTGATGATATTTAATGTGTTTTCTCAAATACCACTTTTATCTCATCAAGTGAAGTGGGGAGAGTCTCATATTTTCACGAGTGACGCAGTCACTCGTGAAAATATTAGACTCTCCCCACTTCACGAGATGAGATAAAAGTGGTATTTGAGAAAACACATTTAATTTTCTATTTATTATATACATGTTTTATTTTTATTACTTGCAATTTATATATTTTTTTCGAAAACAGTGTCTGATAAATTACTAAGTTCTCCCTGTCGCCCCTTTACCACCGCCGTATAAAGGGTTTTGCGAAAAGAATATACTTCGTGAATAAAACTAGCCCTGTTAATATATGTTATGCGAAATATATTATTTCATATCGAGCTCTGTTTACATGGCTCTGTTTACATGGGCTGCTGTGATTATATATAGGAACCGGAAGCCTGCAATGTGTCATTATGAGGCTCAGAAACAATTGGAGATACTACAAACTCTGACGGTGGCCTCCATCAATTAGTTAGACACCCATAAGTTAGACACTCATAAGTTAGACACCCATTAGTTAGACTCTCATTACATGGACACCCATAAGTTGGACACCCATAAGTTAGACTCTCATTCCATGGACACCCATAAGTTAGACACCCTTAAGTGTGATACCTATTAGTTAGACTCTCATTACATGGACACCCATAAGTTGGACACCCATAAGTTAGACTCTCATTACATGGACACCCATAAGTTAGACACCCTTAAGTTTGATACCCGTTAGTTAGACACCCATAAGTTTGATACCCATTAGTTAGACTCTCATTACATGGACACCCATAAGTTAGACACCCTTAAGTTTGATACCCATTAGTTAGACTCTCATTACATGGACATCCATAAGTTAGACACCCATAAGTTTGATACCCGTTAGTTAGACTCTCATTACATGGACACCCATAAGTTAGACACCCAATAGTTTGATACCCGTTAGTTAGACTCTCATTACATGGACATCCACAAGTTAGACACCCTTTAGTGTGATACCCATTAGTTAGACTCTCATTACATGGACACCCATAAGTTAGACACTCATAAGTTTGATACCCATTACATATAGACATCCATTAGTTGGACACCCATAAGTTATAGATTTCCATTAGTTATGCACCCATTAGTTGGACACCCATGATTTAGACACCCATTAGTTAGACACCCTTAAGTTCGACACCCATTAGTTAGACACCAATTAGTTATAGATTTCCATTAGTTATGCACCCATTAGTAAGACACCCATGTTTTAGACACCCATTAGTTAGACACCCTTAGGTTGGACACCCATTTGTTAGACACCAATTAGTTAAAGACACCCATCAGTTATAGACATCCATTAGTTATACACCCATTAGTTAGACACCCATGATTTAGACACCCATTAGTTGGACACACTTTAGTTGGACACCCATTTGTAAGACATCAAGTAGTTATAGACACCCATCAGTTATAGACATCCATTAGTTTTACACCCATTAGTTAGACACCCATTAGTTATACACCCATTAGTTAGACACCCTTTAGTTGGACACCCGTTTGTTAGACACCCATTAGTTAGACAGATTAAAACAACACAATTTATAGTTGAGTGCACAGCAATAAACTGATTGTTACCTCAGAATCCTATTGGGATAATCCAGTCAATGAAAAAAGTCCAATTTGAAGATTAAACTTATTCGTTTTCATGTTGTACAAATGACCGTTCCTACGGAGGACTATTATCATTTTATTATGTTGCATAGTGTACATTTGCAAGAAAACATACCTAAATATACTGTACATGAAGCATTAATGTTGTTCACTTTGTAAACTTGGTTTGTTCATGTTGTTCATTCTCAGTCGACCAAAGGCGAGGTAGGTGGCCAACAGCATCCAGGTACTCGAGTTGAGTCTTATGTGCCTTGTTGGAGAGGGTCTTTTAGTCGAGCAAGGCTGTTTTTAATTTCTAAGTAGATTATTTTGTGGTTCGGTGGTGCAGCTCTAAAGTTTGGTTTCGGCAAGGGAAATCTCGCTTCGTAATCAACCCATGGGTTCACGATGTAATCTCTGAAGTCCACGACGTAGTCAACATCTGGTGTTTTAGACAAGATGCTGGGGACGCAGTGCCAGAACATAAGCTCTTCTAACCCACTGCCTCACTCGTTTGTTTGTTTATTGCTTAACTCAGCAATATTCCAGCTATATGACGGCGGTCTGTAAATAATCGAGTCCAGACCAGAAAATCAAGTGATTGACATCATGAGTATCGATGTACTCAAATGGGATTCGATGACATGCATCAACCAACTCAGCGAGCCTGACCACCCGATCCCGTTAGTCGCTTCTTACGACAAGTATAGTCACCTGTTACAGCAAGCATGGGTTGCTGGAGACCTATTCGACCTATTCTTCACGGGTAGACTCACTTGTGGGTCTTTCTTGTTCAGACGCTTGTGTCCAAGGTTTAGAGTTTTTCTCCACAGGGTTTGACAGTGGTGGAAGAAGCAGGCCTTAATGAACTGTATAACTAATGAGATATGACCACTCTTACACACTGTTTGACAGCAATTAGTCATTGTTTGATATACCTACAGGAGGTTGATTTCACTGGTCATTGGGTCCATCATCTGCTCAGCTACCAACAGACGAGGGTGTTTGACTTGACCTTGACGTATTGAAGCTACTGCAACATCAATAGACCAGTTACTAATGTAAAGAAAAATCCAAGGTCATAGAAATACGTGACTTGCGCAATGCCACCATTTTGAGGTATGACTTCCACTTCTAAACTGCTGTTACATTTTCTAAGAAAGGTAACGTTCCTGGTCCTCCCTACCCCGTTTAGAGCTTGACACCCGCCTTCAGTGACGACCATGTTGTACACGAATGCGCGAACAACGGCGCTGCTTTTGTTGTTAAAGGCGTAGTCGTGGAGAGTGGTGATGGTGCTGTTGTAGAAGTTGAAGAAGGAGGCAGTTAAGTTCTCTCCAAAGCCGTGTGGCTGGATGGTGGTAATGTTGACACTGAAGATGTTGAGGAATGAGATGGTGAGATTGCTGAAGGCTTGAGACTGGATGGTGGTGATGTTAGCATTGTACAGTTTCATGTGAGAGACAGTCATGTTGTTGAAGGCATACGGTTGGATGGTAGTGATGGTCGCATTGTATATGTTCATGTGTGCGACAGTCATATTATGAAAGGCATAGGGCTGGATAGTGGTGATATTAACATTGAACATACTCATATGTGCTACAGTCACGTTGTTGAATGCTCGAAACTGAAGACTGTCAATGTAAGCATTGTTGATTGTCATGTGGGATGCAGACATGTTGTTGAAGGCATATTGCTGGATAGAGGTGATGTTAGCATTGTACAGTTTCATGTGAGAGACTGTCATGTTGTTGAAGGCATAAGGTTGGATAGAGATGATGCTTACGTTGTATATATTCAGGAAGGATGCTGTAAGGTTACCGAAAGAGTTTGAACCGATCGTCGCGATGTTTGAATTATAAATGTAAAAGTAGGATGCTGTGACATTCTGAAAGGCGTGAGGCTGAAGGGTCGTGATGTTGACATTGTGTATCTTCAGGAATGAAACATCCATACGGCTGAAGGCTTGTGACTGGACTGTTGTGACTCGTCCATGTGATAGAGAAAAGGAGGATGAGGACACATTGTGAAATGTTCTGGAGGGCAGCACGTCCACCTCAAAGTTAGAAATAACCACCCTTGTTCTATTCAAGTTGTAGAATGCTTCCTCTTCAATTGCCAAGATGGAGACAGTATTCAGCAGCACAGCACCTCCCGATATATCCTTGAAGGCACGTCTTTCTATTCTTGTGATGTTCACATTACCCAAACTAATCTGGGTCAGTTTTGGCAGTGTTCTGAAGGCGGTGGTTGGTAGTGGAAGGGTAGAGTTGGTGATTGTCACACTAACAGCAGAATCGGAGCGGATGTCTGGGAAGAGTGTGAGACCCGAACATGTGACAGTCGAAGCACTGCACGTGCATCTGTCTGGGCACTGTCTGCTACCATCATTTGTTTCATCAATACCACCACATTTTCTAAGAAAGGTAACGTTCCTGATCCTCCCTACCCCGTTTAGAGCTTGACACCCGCCTTCAGTGACGACCATGTTGTACACGAATGCGCGAACAACGGCGCTGCTTTTGTTGTTAAAGGCGTAGTCGTGGAGAGTGGTGATGGTGCTGTTGTAGAAGTTGAAGAAGGAGGCAGTTAAGTTCTCTCCAAAGCCGTGTGGCTGGATGGTGGTAATGTTGACACTGAAGATGTTGAGGAATGAGATGGTGAGATTGCTGAAGGCTTGAGACTGGATGGTGGTGATGTTTGCATTGTACAGTTTCATGTGAGAGACAGTCATGTTGTTGAAGGCATAGGGTTGGATGGTAGTGATGGTCGCATTGTATATGTTCATGTATGCGACAGTCATATTATGAAAGGCATAGGGCTGGATAGTGGTGATATTAACATTGAACATACTCATATGTGATACAGTCACGTTGTTGAAAGCTCGAAACTGAAGACTGTCAATGTAAGCATTGTTGATTGTCATGTGGGATGCAGACATGTTGTTGAAGGCATATTGCTGGATAGAGGTGATGTTAGCATTGTACAGTTTCACCTGAGAGACAGTCATGTTGTTGAAGGCATAAGGTTGGATAGAGATGATGCTTACGTTGTATATATTCAGGAAGGATGCTGTAAGATTACCGAAAGAGTTTGAACCGATCGTCGAGATGTTTGAATTATAAATGTAAAAGTAGGACGCTGTGACATTCTGAAAGGCGTGAGGCTGAAGGGTCGTGATGTTGACATTGTGTATCTTAAGGAATGAAACATCCATATTGCTGAAAGCTTGTGACTGGACTGTTGTGACTCGTCCATGTGATAAAGTAAAGGAGGATGAGGACACATTGTGAAATGTTCTGGAGGGCAGCACGTCCATCTCAAAGTTAGAAATATCAACCCTTGTTCTATTCAAGTTGTAGAATGCTTCCTCTTCAATTGCCAAGATGGAGACATTATTCAGCAGCACAGTACCTCCCGATATATCCTTGAAGGCACGTCTTTCTATTCTTGTGATGTTCACATTACCCAAACTAATCTGGGTCAGTTTTGGCAGTGTTCTGAAGGCGGTGGTTGGTAGTGGAAGGGTAGAGCTGGTGATTGTCACAGTAACAGCAGAATCGGAGCGGATGTCTGGGAAGAGTGTGAGACCCGAACATGTGATAGTCGAAGCACTGCACGTGCATCTGTCTGGACATAAATATGGTTCTGTATTTCCGGATACTATCCACATCAGGAGAGATACGCATGTAAATCTCATCATGCCTTGGGGAACGATCTGGAATGTGACATCAAGACATACAAGCAGGTTACAAATGATATACATGTTATGTTCAGTGAGGTGAAGTGACGTGGAATTATCGTCGCCCTCAAGATCCTTTCACTCACATGGCGACGTATATGTATGTGGCTGCTTGTACTAATTTAGACTTTTTCCGTACCATCTATTTTCCCATACCCAAAGTTTTTATTGAATCACCACACCCACAGTGTGTTCGTTATGAGTGAATTAAACGTACAATGTGAATGGAAGTTTCATTTTTAGAGCACAATGTCAATGTCATTTAAAAAAGTCAACAAACAAATTAACATTGTTCATATCCTTTATAAAGTAGTGGCCAGACCCTCAAACTGCCGACATACCCAACCCCAAAGTAGAACAAAGCAAACTTAGGTTTTCCTTATCTTTTTGTATCCAACAGACTAGAAAATGGTGGTTGTGGTCAAATGTTTTGGTGGCACATACTGTTTTGGGGTCAAAATGCAATTTTCTGTTTTTAAAATGGAGAAAATAGAGAAAATCAAATATAGTCCCCCAAACTTTTTAATAAATATTTTGTTCTGCTTTCTGCTGATATTCTGAATTTTAAGGGTCGTGTCTATAAGATGTTACCACATTTATAGATGTAATAATGTGTGATAGTATAAAGTTGGTTTTAAATATACTTAGCTGTAAACAGGCTTTGGATTTATGTCGCTGAAGGGAACAAAAGCTGTCTGTGTTTTAACTCTACACGTTAAGGACATGTAACACATGTCAGGGGCTCAATATCCAAAGATATCAACATGCTTTGAACATAACATGTTCATGAAAAATGTGGAATATAGTTATTGCAGTCATTCATTAATTACCCCTTCCCGCTCTCGAGTCAACACGAGGTACGTCTAGAAGAGTCAGAAGAGAAATGTCAACTGTTGGGCGATGTCCAATCAAAACACATTTAGACATTAAAAAAGTGATTATCTGAATATTTCATCACTTTACTTTGATATATACAGCATCAAGCAAGAGTCGAGCAATGATTGTAGAAATGTACAGAACGGACACGTCTAAGCTATTGCTTGGTGTTGATGTTGTCGTATTGTGAGCATCTCAGAGCAAGATGCACCAAGTACCAAAACTGTTTAAATGGTTAAGAGGGTAAGGGAGAGGGGTGGGTGGGTCGGTCGAGTGTGCCAACCTCTAATATCAAGTCAGATATCATATTAGATGGCTAAATATTAGCCGAGATAAAAGGATAAGATCTTATGACAATTATTTGAACTCACATTTTTGTGTAACTTAACGATATACTGCTTTGGACTCAAGCTTCAATACCGTAATTGCACTGAGCTGAGTTAATCTAGACTGGGTATTCTCTGTTATTTATTTGTAAGTGAATCGTGAAAGGCAGTTGCACGCTGGTAATTGTGATCTAGAAGAACATTGTGAAACGTGATATTCTTAAAGTGATGTCTGGTTATAAATTCAAAGAAGACAGCTTTCTCGACATTGCTGACACATGATGAGTTGTCATTTTGGATTGAGCCCCCTAGAAATGTCCCTTAACTCTGCTGGAGCATTCGACCTCCTGCTATACTTTTGAACACCCTGGATGACCAAGGCTATGTCCAGGCCTCCAACAATGACAAGGCAGCTACAATGTTCCACCTATATAAGATGTTTTCAAGCAACACATGTTGAGAGCCATGTTTCAGACGACACTATTGCTGCAGATATATTACTCATCTGATCTGCAGTGACAGATCATATGTCATATGAGTGAGTGAGTGAGTAAGGTTTTACGCCGCTTTTAGCAATATTCCAGCAATATCACGGCGGGGGACACCAGAAATGGGCTTCACACATTGTACCCATGTCGGGAATCGAACCCGGGTCTCCGACGTGACGAGCGCACGCTTTAACCACTAGGCTACCCGACCGCCCCATATGTCATATGAACCTGAAGGCTTTAATGACAGTGGCAGTGGTGGCAGAGACTAACTTTATCTTACTGCATTGGAGAAAAATAATGGATTTAGTAATAAGTTACTTACAATATTGAAGCAGTTGCACATAAGTGCTTCACATTGACACTTCAAAGTAAGTCAATATGATCAGCAATTATAGTACATAACATAGGCGATAATTATCTTATATATGACAATAACACGATAGATGGAGTTCCTGGTCGAAACCTAAATTTTGACATTTAACTTTCTCATACATTCCGAAGTGAAGATGAAATATTGTCATTTTCCTGTATTGGTGGCCATCTTGGAGGCCATTTTGTCCGCCATATTGGACACATACATTTACGTAAGATTCTAAAACGAATCATGCGTTCAAATAAAACAAACTGGTGTACGAGAACGTTAGTGTTCTCATACATGTAGTAATTTTACAAATATGTTTGTATGCATTTGTTGTTTCCTTAACAGGATTGGAGTGGGATCACAATTACTAAATTTTTAGACATCATGTTATACCTACATTAATTGTGGATTTTTTTGAAAGTTCCTAAAGCATTCAGGCAGATTTTGAGATATCAAACAACATGAATGTAAAAACGGAGATTACATTATCTTCAGTTTTGGAATAATTTGAAAATGAAAATTGAGTGATTTTGTCCTGTTTTTGACATATTTTGGCCCATAAGTCGACTTAAACAATTTTGCTTATTGTTCATTTGTTTTTTTTTGTAGGTTTCCTAAGTCAGCACACAGATTTTGTTTATAAAATGAGCATTGCAATATGCAAACTGACTTCTTTACATTTATTTGATTTACTTAATATTTACACACAAATGTGCATTTTACCACCAAAAACATGTCTGCCACCAAAATAAAACACCACAACCATCGTTTTCTTGTGCTTTGCTCTACTGTGGGGATGGGCTACTCCTTATCTAAGCCTCTTTTTAAGAGTTACCTCATTGTGATACACGTGAGAGAAAAAGGTCGCCCTACATGTTACATCACTGTAATACACGTGAGAGAACAAGGTCAAGCTACATGTTACCTCACTGTGGTACACGTGACAGAACAAGTTCACTCTATATGTTACCTCACTTTGATACACGTGACAGAACAAGGCCACTCTACATGTTACCTCACTGTGATAGACGTGACAGAACAAGGTCAAGCTACATGTTAACTCACTGTGATACACGTGAGAAAACAAGGTCACTCTACATGTTACCTCACTGTGATACACGTGAGAGAACAAGGTCACTCTACATGTTAAATCACTGTGATACACGTGAGAGAACAAGGTCAAGCTACATGTTAACTCACTGTGATACATGTGACAGAACAAGGCCACTCTACATTTTACCTCACTGTGGTACACGTGACAGAACAAGGTCACTCTATATGTTACCTCACTTTGATACACGTGAGAGAACAAGGTCACTCTAAATGTTACCTCACTGTGATACACGTGAGAGAACAAGGCCATTCTACATGTTACCTCACTGTGATACACGTGAGAGAATAATGCCACTCTACATGTTACCTCGCTGTGATACACGTGAGAGAACAAGGTCACTCTAAATGTTACCTCATTGTGATACACGTGAGAGAACAAGGTCACTCTACATATTACCTCACTGTGATACACGTGACAGTACAAGGCCATTCTACATGTTACCTCACTGTGATACACTTGAGAGAACAAGGTCACTCTACATCTTACCTTACTGTGATACACGTGAGAGAACAAGATCACTCTACATGTTACCTCGCTGTGATACACGTGAGGGAACAAGGCCACTCTACATGTTACCTCACTGTGATACACCTGACAGAACAAGGTCATCCTACATGTCACCTCACTGTGATGCACGTGACAGTACAAGGTCACTCTAAATGTTACCTCACTGTGATACACGTGAGAGAACAAGGTCACTCTACATGTTACATCACTTTGATACACGTGAGAGAACAAGGCCACTCTACACGTTACCTCACTGTGATGCATGTGACAGAACAAGGCCACTCTACACGTTACCTCACTGTGATACATGTGAGAGAACAAGGTCACTCTACATGTTACCTCATTGTGATACATGTGACAGAACAAGGCCACTCTACACGTTACCTCACTGTGATACATGTGACAAAACAAGGTCATCCTACATGTTACCTCACTGTGATACACGTGACAGAACAAGGCCACTCTACACGTTACCTCACTGTGATACACTTGAGAGAACAAGGTCACTCTACATCTTACCTTACTGTGATACACGTGAGAGAACAAGATCACTCTACATGTTACCTCGCTGTGATACACGTGAGGGAACAAGGCCACTCTACATGTTACCTCACTGTGATACACCTGACAGAACAAGGTCATCCTACATGTCACCTCACTGTGATGCACGTGACAGTACAAGGTCACTCTAAATGTTACCTCACTGTGATACACGTGAGAGAACAAGGTCACTCTACATGTTACATCACTTTGATACACGTGAGAGAACAAGGCCACTCTACACGTTACCTCACTGTGATGCATGTGACAGAACAAGGCCACTCTACACGTTACCTCACTGTGATACATGTGAGAGAACAAGGTCACTCTACATGTTACCTCATTGTGATACATGTGACAGAACAAGGCCACTCTACACGTTACCTCACTGTGATACATGTGACAAAACAAGGTCATCCTACATGTTACCTCACTGTGATACACGTGACAGAACAAGGCCACTCTACACGTTACCTCTCTGTGATACACGTGAGAGAACAAGGTCACTCTACATGTTACCTCACTGTGATACACGTAAGAGAACAGGACACTACACGTTCCCTCACTATGATACACATAAGAGAAGAAGGCCACTCTACGCGTTACCCCCCCCCCCCCCCCCCCCCCCTGTGATGCACGTGACAGTACAAGGCCACCCTACATGTTACCTCACTGTGATACATGTGACAGAACAAGGTCCCTCTACATGTTACCTCACTGTGGTACACGTGACAGAACAAGGTCACTCTTCATGTTACCTC